ATTATCATCATCTTTGCTCTTCGTGGTAGTAGGCCATAACGCTCTTCAAACAGAAAACAGTGAGTTGGTAAAAGTTCTGTACCCTCCTAAAATCATATCAAATTGTTAAAAACACCAGTTACAAGCCTCCCTTTTCCAAAAACAATGATCCTTAAGCAAAACAAGTTCTTAATCATGACGCTATATTTTGGTGTTCTGCTACCACTCGATGGTAGCTCCTACTTGGATCGTTGAAAGATCTGTCGCTGAGTCATAATATCTTTTTTGCACTCACAAATAAACTATGACCAAGATCAATGTCAGTATGTCAGAGCAAAAGTGCACCTACCCACCCACCTCCCCAGCAGCCCAAAAAACAGTCAACTGATCCTAAGTTAGGGTTCATGTTGGGTTAGAAGAGTGGTAGGTGCTCAGTTGCTTAGAAACTGACTATGATTCGATGACTGTTACTGAGGAAACTACCTATAAAACTATAAATTTGCAGATAGTTTGTGCATACCCTCAATTGCAATACGGAACTTGCACATTGCCGTATTACCAGCTATATCTATCGCACTATACGTTATATTGTGTTGTCCCCATGTAAACTCGCTCCCATTAGGTCTGCTTGTTATAAATGCGTGGACACCAACATTATCGGTGACCGTTACACCGGGTAGCCACACCCTTGTCCATTGCTTTGCAGATGTAATGAGTATATTGTCGGGACATGAGGAAATTCTGGGTGGCTCTTTATCTGTTTGGAAAATAAAGGGCATCTTGTTAGAAAACCTTTCTTAAAATGTGAGAAGCGGTGGTTGGTTGAATATTGTTGCACACGTAAATCCCAGCAAGGACCTTTTTCAAAGTAATTATAATGTTATTTTTGTTGAGCCCTAGTTAGATGTTTGAAAGACTTAATGTCAAATAGAGTAAGTTCAATTTAGCGAAAAAACCAAAGCTATTGTTTTCCCAAGGTAACACTCTTTAAATTGGTCTTGGGAAGTCTCGCCATCTTCATAGCCAAAAACATTGCTCTTTAGTCAGTATTCCTTTATCATTTTTCATTGTTTATTTTCTCATTGGTCACTTGCTATATTTTGCTCTGCTCTGACTGCTTTTTGAATTTGGCTTTACAAAGGAAATCTGTCATTGGTCTAAGAAACTGGCGCAATTCGTTTGGCAGAGAAAATACGAGGCTAAAAGCCCCGACTTGGTCAGTTGAGTTTCCCCTCGCTCTATGTGACTTTCGTACAGCACTGTGCATTAGTTAAGCGTGACTACTTTGCTTTGGTTTTACGAAAGTAAATATCTAGAAAATGTGCTCTTTTTTGAAAATACAATGTTGAAATTTTGAAATTTATGAAATGTTTGTGCATGATTTCACCAACACATAGGCTCTCATACCTTTGACTTGAATGGAGAAAGTGCACGATGAACTCAGCGCCGACGAATCAGTGACTTTGTAAGTAATATGATTTATACCAACATTAAACTGCTGCGGCGGTGTCAAGCCAGTAAGGATCAAGTGTTCTCTAGAGTTGTCCGTGGGGACTGGTACCTCCCAAGTCACGTTCGCATAAGATTGGCCAGTCTCCGTGGGGACTACNTTGTATAGGAAGACTAGAATGTCTTAACACTCGCGGATGTCATAGCTAAGGTGGCACATGCTTCATAGTTATTTCAAGAGTCTGAGTGTTGGTCCGGCCTAGCGCTTGAAGCCTCGACCTCCCGCGCGACAGTCCGGCTCTTCCCGACATGAGCTAACCAAGCGCGGCACAATGATAGCATGGCATGCAAAGGAAACGTCAAATTACCAAAAAACATACAATATAACGCTAAAGCTGCATACTGTTTTATTATATACATACTGAGATTTACACACTGAAAAGCCGCAGAGTAAATTTTCGTTCGCAAACCGATGTAAACCAATCAAACGTCGCGTATCGCTTTTCCTACATGTGAGAAAAGCGATACATCCAATCAGGAGCCGCGTATCATGTTTTTTCACGTGTGAGCCGTACGGCAAGTTGAAGTTTTCATTCTAGGCTGGTTAGCGCGGTTTCGTACACCGCACAAGCCATCGCCTTGCAAACATTTCTTATTCGCATTTCTTCCATCATTAATATTGAAAGTTCCTGTCTCGGCGAAAGCCATGAGCGAAAAGCGTTTCGTTATCCACGATTCATAACTTTTGGATTCATAACTTTTGGATTTTATTTGAGCTCTTTCCCTTTTTACCAAGCTTTTTTCTTTCAGTGATTGTTGTTTGACCACATTTGTTTAAATAAAGCTTGTCCTAATTTAAGGAGGGTGTTCAGTCTCAGTATGTATATAACAAACATAATACCACATGGAAAGTGCGCCCGTACGGTGTTTACATACTCTTTGTTTTGTATCAGAAATCTCACTCGCTCGCTTCGCTCACTTGTTCGATTTCTGATATGCCACAACTCGTGTGTAAACACCGTACGCGCGCACTTTCCATGAAGTATTCTATATATAAGAATCTGTGTATAATCAAATGTTAATTATGTCACAAGTTCACTACCTTTACAGATAATCTTAGTAGTATCTGCACTCCATGATCCGTTTTCAAGGCAGGACACATTTCCTGTTCCTTGTGGTTGATATCCGGCCGAACATATGAAATAGCACTCTCTCTTGTAATGAACTCCAGTAGATAACTGGCAAGGACTTGGAGCTACGGTCCCATGAGATGGGGCTTTAATGGCTGGGCATTTGACATCTAAAAGAATAGTAATGTTTATGTAAATTAACCTCTCCCACATCAATTTAGTGCTGACGTTTGATATCTGAAGGTCAGCAGCTGAGGTCCCGTGCACAACTGTACGAAAGATTTGGCATGTTTTTTTTTTCTAAGAATATGTAATACAGAAAAAAAAAGAAAATGTAGGAAATCTGTCCGAGCAGATACGCAAACTCATGGATTTGATAATCATTTGAACTAGCTATCTAGCTTACTCCTTACTTCAAAATGTAAAACAATTTGGTCTGCATTATTCTTCAGCGAGTTTTACTTTCCTAGGGAGTTTGCTCAAACTTAACACGGTTGACATTGTTGAATTCCTCTACTTCAAGGTTATCAAAACGTACGAGCCAAAACCTTATGGACTATTTACAGTTTAAAATGCTTACTTTTGCACAAGGTTGTGTTGCCTGACCAGGCCCCATTACTTCCGCAAGTGCGAAGAGGAGAGCCCTCCATATTAAATCCTTTCTTACAAGAGAAAGAAGCCTGGGAACCAAACCAGTTCTGGCATGTAAGCGATATATATCCATGTACTGGTTGAGGAAGGACTGGACATGATTTTCCTGTGGATAGAAGACGTTTGTTTCATTAAGCGTGAAACAAATTTCCACTTGTTAATAAATAAACATCTATTCACCGAAGTAGAGGTGGTTAGTGGTGGATATTTACAATATTACAAAAGATGCTTTTAACTCATATCTCCCTGCAACGATTGCCCCATATTCGGGCGCAAATCCAACGAGCGATCCCTTTGAGGTGAATTGCAAAGGATATTGGGAGTTTTAGCAGCTAGTGAGAGGGCGCGTTCACACTACCCTCTGTGTTAGTATACATAGCATATATCATGGAAAGTGTTCTAACATACTTGTGACTTGAACAGTGAAACTGCAGTTAGCACTGTTTCCGCTGTCGTCTTTGGCTGAGTAAGTCACTTGATAGAGTCCAACATGCAATTGAGTAGATGGTCCAACTGCAGGATAGCTGACCGACACGTGGCCCGAATTGTCATAAGAAATTGGTTCATTCCATTTCACAAGAGCTCTAGATGAACATCCAGCAGTGTAGAAAACCATGTTGTTGGGACAAGTGTTGTTGAAAGAGGGGGGCATGTTGTCTGTAAGCGATGGAAAAGGGACAAAGTGTAAATTGATAGCAATCCTTGCTGTTACCGTGGATCCTATATGCTAATAACCTATTGAGGTTTCTACAGATCTCATTTACAGGAATGACAAGGACATTTGTCAATCCGTCTGGACGAGATGCTAATTCATTGCTTCCACTCCCCCCTCTAGCAATCGTAAAATTTTCCAAACTGTGTATTGGAACCTATCCACAGCCGAGCGAGGAGGAAGTTACAGGGAACAGGAAAATGAGTCTGTGGTTGAAGTTTCTGGCAGGTTCTCCTTATCGCCATCTACCACTCAGGCCCCTGGGCTAGAGTCTCCTAGGAGCCGTTAAATTCGGAAAATTGAAAAGCATCCCACTTATTACCTGGTATAAACGAATTATCCTGCAACTGTGCTGTTCGCGATGCCGCCAAAGTTAGTAAACAACTTAAACACATAAGAAATATTACGTTTACAAAAAAGATCATCGTAATGAGTAGTGGGAATATGGTAGGTTTTTTGAATTGTTTTTACTTAAAAATAATGTTGTCTCCATAGCACTTTTGGACAAATATAGCTCGCAAGTGCATGAGGCTAAAAATCAGAGGTAACAATAAACCAGAAGGACGAGAATAGCCATAAAGGCGAATGGTTTAAATTAACATACGTTGGAAATAACGTAGCGGTCGATTTTTGATTTTGGACTTTAGTGGCCGATTTTTGATTTTGGACACTAGTAGTCAATTTTTGACTTTGGACATTAGTGGCTGATGTTTAAAACGACGTGGTCAACAATTTCCGATCATTCATTGATTATTATTATCATTTCTAAAACATAAACTAACCTCTGCAACGAGTGTCGTTCGATCCTGTCCATTTCCCATTGTTATCACATACCCTTGAGGAAGCTCCATCAAGAATGTATCCCGGAATTCGACAGGAAAATCTGCATGTCTGACCTTGGGAGCTGCTTGATAGGCACGAGGATGGAGAAATGACCACATTTGTGCGAGGGACAAGTGGATCACAGCTAATACCTGAGGACAACATTAACGCACAGGTAAGCTCAGACATAATCACAAACGATAGTCACTATTTATCTAAACACTGATATCTTTCAAAACATTTTTCCGTTCAAAAGATGATTATTATCTTTAAGTTGTCGCTTGAAACGAATTTTTACCAGGCAGCTGAGATGCTAATAATAGACTTCCTCGAAAAATGTTAGAAAAGCGCGTCATAGGCAGGTTTTGAGTAAGGAAGTAATCTTGGTTATATCAACTCAGTTGATAATGTAGATTGGCCAGCGTGAAGAGTTTCAAAGCTTGTTACATTCCCCACTGACGCAGCACTACAGTTTCCATAGAACGTACTCCCTTCAAGTTTTGAGGAAGCTTTCAAGGCAATTATTATGAAAAAATAAAAATACAGAGTAAAGTGTATTATCACATTTAACCATTCGAGTTATGTCCACAGATTTCCTTTCAACTGATTAATTGTTTTGACTCAGGGCATTCGTTTGATGCTGTTACCCATAAGCCAAATGTGTACAAATGCTCCAATATTTCTGTTATCATTGGGTGGAACCTATCTGTTCAAGTTTACTAAGTGTGTGGTTTATTAAACAAAT